ACGACTTGCAAGTATTTTGTCATTGATAGTATGCTAGTAGACTTTAGTTTTCATTAGCAACAATACAGTATCTTGCTATAGTTTTTATCTAATTGAAATAGACTTCCATATTGATAGGATGGAAGACATACACAACCATAGATATAAATCGATCATGACTCTTGTAATCTGGATTGCACGTGATCTGTTTTTTGCTACTAACATACTTTCCGAATTCTACAGCTTCTCATTTTTTTTCTTATTCTTACCGTCCGAATTTGATATAGTTCCGTCAAGTTGTGCACTAAAATATCATATTAATTAGCTTATATCGAGAACTTATTTATATTATTTAGTTGACTTACGTGGTTTGCGAAGTAGAAATAAGTAAATGGAAAATGAGAAGTAATAGCGGCAACGGAAAATGCATTGTCGGCAACGCACTTTTAGATATCGTATGATCAATGATCGTGATCAGTTTGGAGCAAACTGACTGTATCTCTCTTGATCAATGTTTGAATAAAATGATCACTTCTTGTCTGAAAAGTTTTTTTTTTTTTATATGAAGAATCTACCGGCACAACTAGATTGTTCTTGTCTTTTTAAATGATTTTTACATCGAAGGGCATGAATGGTGTTAATGATCGATTAAATATAATCTTTTGTTCTTACATATCCATTTTTCGAATTGAATAAAAGATAACTTCTGGTGCCCATATTCGTTTTGATAAAGAAGAACGACGCAAAAGCATACTAAATGAATAGATAATTGCTAAAAAAAATCATGCTGATGAATAGCGACGACGATTTCAATTGTTATATATTTTTGATAATGGTTGTTTTTTCACGTATGTTGCCCACTCACAAAAATAAGTTATAGAAGATTTTTTTTTTAAGTTTCATCGAAGCAACCAATCAAATCTCGAGTTTTTATACCGTAAGTCATGCAGTATTTATTTAACATAAAGCTAGTTTCATTGAAGTAATTCAATATAATTGATAACTTGAAATGGCAATGTCACGAGATTAAATTTAAAAAATCAATATTGATTCTTTTACTTCTTTTTCTGCATAATCAAAAATTTTTTTTTATACTTGTGAACCGATGATATCTAACCACTACACTTAATTCAATTTTGATTAGTTAAAGAAACTTTGATTTTTTTTTTAAATAAAATTGTTCAGTTTTTATAAATCAGAACGAATAGTTCTATTATTAGATTCCAATTCGACAGAGTTCCTTCAGAAGTTCCAGAGATCCGATGATCTGAATCCAACAACAGGGGTTCCAACGTCTATCCAATAGGATCCAACAGGAACAATTACATCTTGGAAAATATTGATCGAATTGACTTTTTTTATTCTTCCTTTTAGACAGTTATTGATATTCTATTGAATATACTCTTTCAGCGAATACGACTTGGTCACATGATTATAGAAATTACTTGTTTGAATATTGGAGAAATTTCAGTTGTGTGCATACTTTGAGCATAGTTTAAGGAGTGCTCAAAGAAGTTTTTATGTAACATCCATACTGATATGAAAGTATCAGTACTCAATGTAGTATTCATTTTTGATTTTTCTTAGAATATTCAATAAAGCATCTGTGCATAATGCTGTTAACTAAAGAGAAAAGAAGTAACAATATGAAAATCGGTTATCACTGTTTCTGTAGATTAAAAATATAAAGCATAAAATAGCTACTGTTAATAGTAGAAAAACTTCGTGAATAAATCAGTTTAAGTCAAAACTACATAAAATTGACAATCTATTCAAGTCATCAGACAAAATTAAATTGATATTATCCTAGAGTTTTTAATTTGCCTATAAACTTATCGGTTTCTCTTTTAGTAATTTGTATAAATGCAAAATAAATTTCACTTTCGAAACTATACGAATCACCATCCGTAAGAGAACATTGACAAAGTATCAGCCACAATTTATAGTGAGCCATTGTTACAATATCTACCACGATAATTAGCGGAAGGAAAAGATATTCGAAAATCTCGTCCTATACATTAACACTTCTTTTAGTTCGTATTTCATGAAATTGAAAGCAAATTATTTTAAGCAAGCTAATTATTATTTCTCCATTCTCTTGTAGTAAGACATTCATTTTATTTTGATCATGAGTTTAAGAAAGACAATGATTTCATTGCTAACTTTACTATTTCTTCTTTGAGCAAGACTGAATGCTTATTTAGATATATATATGACTGATAACTCGTTTTAGCTTTATTTTTTTACAAATAGATTTTACAAAAAAGATTCTTTCTACATTTAAATACTGCTTTCAGCCTGAGTATAAGAAAAAAAATTCAAGGACAAATGATTGTTTCGATTCCAAAACTACTACAAGTTTGAATTGAGAAAAAAAAACATCTATTATATCAAAATTCGATTTTTTCATTTTCTATTGTGTTGCCGTATAGTTTTATTTTATTCAATAGTTAATGACTATCATTTCATACATCTGTTGTTCATTATTTTTTGTGACTAAAAAGAACACAATGCATTGAATCGTTTCATTCTGATTCGTGTTTCGATCGAACATTTTATTATACATCGTTTCTGTAGATTTATATCAAATATGTCGCTACTTTGTAATGTAATGCACGGCAGATTAAACTGCGAAATACTTTGAAAATGTACTTCGAATCTAATCTTGAATTCGTCTGCCTTTTTCCGGTGTAGACAAATAAGATTTAAGTTCAAATTTTATTTCTTTTCGTCTTGAGAACATACTTATTAACTAAACACGCAAAAAATAAATGAAACAAGACAGATCTTTATAAATATCTAAACATGGCTAGATATTAGAGAAGATACAAACAAAGGAGAAAGAAAAGAAAAGAGAAGAGAATAACAAGATGAAGACACATGTATAGGACAAAACGATTTTATGTTATCAACACAGATCATAACACAAGCGAATAATGACTATTTTTTTCATTTAATTCGAACAGGTAATATCTATGTTTTAGAGCATAAGAGAAGGAAAGATCTTGAAACCTCTTCGTTAAACAGTAGATTTGATCTTGATTAGACCACTTCAAAACAGTCTATTCTCAATCATTAATAGATCTCTCAACATATCATCGAACAATGACTTATCGAGAAACTATCTAAAAACAAAGACATGCAAAAATGTATAAGCTCGACATGTTCAATTGAATCGATTTTATGTAGCTGTACGGAATAAACCAAATAGTGACAAATGCTGACCAGATAGACTAATGATACATCTATAATACCACATATTCAACTGCAATAAACTTTTGTGACAAAGTCTACGATACTATCAGTAATGACGTGTAAATAGAATAGATTTTTATTTTAGTGTATGTATACATTTATTGCGATCTTTAACTTGATTTTTGTTAAATTGCGATGATATTTGCCTCGGTTTTTATTACTATAGTTCTTCGATCTTAAATTCAGCTTGAAATTTTGATTTGCTCTTTTCTTTTGTTTCGTATGCAATAAAAAATATTTCTTATGTATTGTAACAATGGTCATGTAGAGGCGGCGACTATCTACAGTTACCACTATTTTAAAAGGCAACAGCTTTTTATAAACAATAACGATGAATCATTTTATGCATCCGTGGCATATGTATTTTCTTGAGTTTTTTTTTAAATATCATTCTGACATATTTCTTATATATTTCTTGTTTGAATATTTTCTTATACATAGTAGTCATCGTTTGCTAATAGGGATGTAATTAATTGTTCTTATTCGTGTAGTTTTAAAAGAAATGAACATTGATTTACAAATTGAATGTTCACTAGCGACAGTGTTTAGTATTACACCTATCAGATGAGATAATCAGAGAAAAGAAATATACTTTTTGATAAATGATGGGATAGCTTATTTACATAAAGCAAATGTAATACAATAGTACTGAACAGAATACATGTATAGAATCATTCTATGAAAATGATTTTTGTATTGAAAAAGTCATATAAGAGCATTCATGAAATACGAGTATTATCAGATGACCACTCGAGTCTAGTATTCATATACTTCGATCCTAGTACGAGTAAAATTGATGAGTAATCAAAATCTACTGGCGATTTTTTTCCAATTTTTAGAGAAAATCATGATTGTTCAAATAATATTTTCGATGACTCCACCTGGTCGTAGTAGTTGAATCTACGACTATGATTACGTCTCGACGTGTACACCACTGTCGTTTATCATCGTGTTAATACATTTTTCTCGTGAATAAAAAGAAAGATCATTTATTTTCTCTCGATCCATAGCAAATAAAAGAAAAAAAAAGATTTTTTTAAATAAAATAATACTTACTGTTCACTTTGATGATTAGATGATTTAAATAGAAGAAAAAAAAAGATTTATTTTGATATAATAGTACTTACTGTTGAAGTTTGTTGAAAAATTGTCAAAAGTGACACGTTTTTGATGACGCTAGGTACTCATTAGTGCTCACGGTATTTCCTAACGTGACTACTTTCAGAGTACTATCTAATGCTTATCTTCACGAAAGTAATAAATGTAACTATTAACAGTACTGTTTATCAAGCAATAAATGAATCTTTATAAGATAAATTTTCAAAGAAATATGATGATAACAATTTTTTTCTTTACATTAAATGAGATACGTCTTACATCTGATATCTAATAGAATGATATTTGTTCATAAATTACAAAATGAATTTAACATCTATTTTCATTACAGAATGCATAACTAATATTTATCGAACTTATTTCGAGGGTTATTTTGCAGAAAAAAAAAACAAAACTAAAACTAAGGAAAGAACTTTGTCAAACGATAAACTACTTTTTGAGATAAGTCTTATAGAATTAGATAGATCCTGTTGAGACTAGAGACAATTTGAAACGATTGATGTCTATGAATATCCCTTCTTGAATTATGGTCATTTTAATAAGTTTTCTAAAGTAATACCGCAAGTATTCTCAAATCATGTTCAAATTTTGAACTTAACCTTTAAATAAATGAAGTTCTCAATGAGACTAGTTTCTTGTGAAAGTATCAGATTTTGTAGTATTTCTATTCTGAGATATACATAAATATACGATCAAAGTTTGTTTTTCTGAATAACAGAATTGTCAATAGTAATATCTGAGAATAAGAGATACTAGAAAATCTGATACATTCACAAGAAACTAATTGCATTGAAAACTTTACTAGTGCGATTTAAATTCAAAACTTAAAAGTCAATTTCAAAGGTGATCTAAAGAGGACTACAATATCACTAAAATGATCATCACTCAAGAAGAAAGAGTTATCAATAGAAATTCTCTTAGGTTTTCTTTCGTTTCAACAGGATCTACCTAATGAGCTTAAGACTCATCTCAAAAGAGATTGATTAACTGGCGAGATACCTTCATAATCTTTACACTCAGTTTTGATGTATAAATGAAAAAAAGTCAACATCTTTTTTT